TTATGGGATATTGCAATACACACATACAGAACAATCAAAGCTAATCTCCCAAATATTGCAATCAAAGACCAAAAGAACAGAATGTTTTATCTTATTGACATGGCTTTTCTTGGAGACTGTAATGTATCTTTCAAGTCCGAACGATATAAATAGTGTAAATAGTTACAATACCTCATATCAGAAATATAAACAGATATTGAAGGATTGGTACGGACTCCATCTACCAAAAATATGGAGATAGTTAGAATAGTACACTAGAAGATTGCACGAGTTTCGAACCATCTGATATTCCTACATCAATGCAGAGACTTAAGTTTCGTCCTATCAGGATTGGTGCAAAGATTTTATTCAATTTCAGGAGAACCAGTCTGGTTGCAAAAAAAGCAGGACTCGCTCTTTTCCGAGAAAGAATCCAACACAACCGTTGGATAAAAGATCAGTTGCAATCCAATATCTCCCAGAGACTCGAGGCCTTCTTCATCAAAATTACCAACAAAGAAGACAGAAACAGAATCCAGCATGATCCAGATAAATGAGTCAGACACGAATTTGATGCAATCAAAGTTCGCCAAGCACCGAAATGGAACAGGTTGTATGATCAGAATCTGACGCACAACATCCAGTGAAGGCAGTAGTTAAAATCAGTCAACACCAGGTGAGTAACTCTGAGGAGTCCGAACTGTACAATGGCCTCAACTTCGCGACAATCTCTTCGCAACGGATACTATAATTAGACATCATGTCCCCAATCAAGGAAATAGCCTTGAACATTCCTCAGCTCACGCAGATGATCTAAGATGGAAAGTGAGACAGATAATGGAGAAAACCATGCCGTCCAAATCAAATCACAAAACTGGAGAGGCTGGCAATCAAAACAGTAGAGGGGAATGAAAACGTCATCATACTACCAGAAGATAAAGGCAGTGCGATTGTAATGGGCAAAACGGAATATACGAGAAAACTGGAAGACCTCATTAGCTATTGTGAAGTAAAGAAAGACACAACAATGAAAACAGAAAGAAATCTGTCGTAGATTCTAATCAAGAACAAGGACCACCAATCAAAAACAAGCTACATCACATATATGATCTCTATAAAATTCACAAAGACAATATTCCTCTCAGGCCAATTGTTAGCTGCCAAGCCACTGTATGCTATCCGTTTCTTTGTGGATATAGGTGACCCATTAATAAGAAATTCGCCATCATATGCCCGAAATTCACTCACTTCGTGGAAATAATCAAAGATGCTTCCATCTAATCCAAACAGATGGTGAGCCTGAGCGTGGTAATTTTGTTCACCAAGGAACCCGCAGGTGAAGCATATATCGACAGCATAACAGTTTGGCAATAGTCTCGCCATTATCACCAGCAATGGCTAACATATACATGGAATATTTCGAGGAAATGGCATCAACATCACTAAAGCCAACCCTATGGCTGAGATACGTAGATGAAACCTTCATACTCAAGCCATAACAGGAGGAGGCTCAGCTACTGCGGCACCGTGTGAACTCAATAAAACCGTTGATACAGCCCACAATGGAGAGAGAAAACACCAACAAGGATTCCTGGATGTAATAATATCTGGAACAGAGCATGGGTTCAAGACATCCGTATATCGTGAGCCAACATTCACTGGACAATACGATACCGTGTAAAAAAAAGATTTCGTCCGCTACTTACATCGAGCAAAAGTCATAAGTGGTGACTCAGAGACATATAAACATGAAATGGCCAGTATGAGCAGTACCCTACAACGTAACAACTACTCTGAGTATATGGCTTGTACCCTTTTATCCTAATCTGGGATAGAAGGATACAAGATGATAATAACACTTAGAAAACAGTCTAACCTATGTAAAGGGAATATCAGAAAAGATACAAAAGACCTGTGGTTCAGATAACATCAGGACAACATTCAGGAATGGTTCAGTACAACGCAGACATTACTTCCGAGTAAAACCATAGATAAGAAAATGATTAAGGACGGTGTGTACGCCATGCGTGAAGCTGTAGTAAGAAATATAAAGGAGAAACAAGCCACCTCTTAAGATAAGACTGCAAGAACCCCGTAAAGTCGTAACACTAGGGAAAATAGAAAATCAAGCATGGTTCATCATATAGTGAGACAAAAGGAAGATGACCGCCTTCTGTAAGATGAAGTTGAAATAATAAATAGAGTTCATCACTGTTAAATATGAAAACTTGAGGAGTCAGCACATACGCTAGGCCAAAAAAATCTTCTAAGCGGGCCAAACATAGGCATGGATACAATATAGGAACCAGTAATACAGAGAGCTAGAGAAAAACAACATTAACAGAAACTGTAATCTGTGCTCTGGTAAAAAAAATGATTACTGAGATATTAGGGTTATAAGTCCCAAAAATTCACTCACTTATGTCGCAAGGATACATGGCCCAGTGGGTAAAAGCGTTGGTTGAGTAATCCAAAGAGCTGTGAGTTCACAAAGGGAATAAAAATTTAGAGCGATGAGTTACTAAAGGGAATTAAATGATACTGAAATACCCAAAAAGGGCAAAGAATGTGGAATTAGAACAATCTAGCCCCGTGAACTAAACAAGAGTTTCGGTTCAAAATTCAAACGTATATCCCCTGAAGAATGTCGGAGAGTACAACAGCCGAAACGTCGTAAATATTGCAATAAAGACGAGGACAACAGTTCGAAAGGTGTAAATAGTGTAAATAGTTACAATATCTCATCTTAGAAATATAGACAAATATATTTGAAGATATATAAAAGAACTATCAAAATACAAGGATCTGAAGTGGAAATCTCAAACATGTGGCACATGAGGACATTAATAATTCCAGTAGTAGCTGAAGACCTCAGATTGATCTAGATATGTTCCGATAACCTCATTGATGTGATCTCTGTTAGTCCATGCCTTAAAGAATTACAAATACAGGGTGTTATGGTTAAATTGTCAATTTTCACCATTTTATATTTTTAATTTCGTGCATGCATAGTAGGGTCAGTTGGGCACCATCTATGACAAGAAGTGCACACGTTCAACGCAGATTTCAATTTTATCGGAAAATCTGCATATTTTAATATTTCACTCACTTTCAGTTTCATTTATTCAGTAATTGTGAGAATTTCCTATTTATATTCGATGACAACATTTGATTTCTTCGTTTGAATTTCAGATCCTAAAGAATCTTGCTTTTCTATTCATAATTATTTTTGTCAAACCCAACTTCTTTGCACAATTCCCAGAGAATCCCTGTTACAACCCAGTTGTGTCAGGCTTAAATGTATTTTCCACATTCACTTAAATCGACATTTTAATACATGTTTCAAGTGAGAAATACGAATTGGTTGAGCCTTTTTCTGTTATGCAATGCACCTACCTCATTACTCCGTTTAACTTTCTGTCACAACTACGCGTTTGTATGTATCTTTGTATCTGTGTACGCGCACGCGACATTTTTTATAAAATTTAATCTGTATTCCATTTTATTTCTCAAATGTAAAATTGCTCTGGAATTTTCTGAACAAAACATCTTTTTTAACAGTATTTTTATTATGATTATTATTTCCTTTTCTTCGATTTGATGTTTGATACCAGGTCTAGTTTGAAACCTAAAGCTATAATTAGTGAAGGATTTTATTGAAAGCTTTTGTTCTAAATATATGAGTAATACTCATTAAAACAAGCCTTTCTATTTGAATAGAAAGAAAGATTTCCTGGGATTTTCTGAATTCGTGTATCAATATACTCCCTAGCCTTTGCGACTGATCTTATAACTAATAGAATAATAGTTGTATTTAAAATGCCACATTCTTGTAATTTCTATTTCGAGATCCTTATATGTGGATATTTTATCAAATTCTTTCACTGAAATGTTTTTTATCTGGTGGTATGATTCATGTCTTTAAGATAGAATTTTTATGACTATCTCTGATCTCTTGTTTAGTGCACTTGGTATGTATAGTGAAACAACGTAATATAAAGCCATTACCTACAACTGGTGGTGGTTTTTGCCAATAGTACATTTCTGTGCGTGGTACGTTATCATGTTGTTATATCTTGCAATGTATGTGCGTTGTGGTGCAATGAATATCAACTCGGAATGAAAACTCACAGAACCGAGTTCGAATTTCAGTCGAATTCGTTACATTCACTTTAGGATGTGTATTAATCTATTTCTTCTCCCCTCTATATGTTGAATAGCAGGACAGACTGAGTTCTATAGTTTTAGTTGTCAACAGGTCTACCACAGAAAGAAATAGCAACCTACTGCGGGAATGTATTAAAGAGTTATGATCGCCTAAACGTGTATCACGTATAGTATTTGCCTGAAATATATCTTAGTAATTCCCTAATGTCTATTATTAAATTTATTTGGTGCTAGGGTAGAGCAGCCAGATATTAGATGATGAGTAATATTTTTCAGAGTTTGTACGGAAACGACGTTTTTACTTAAATTATGTGCCTGCTAATATCTTGTTATCATGCTTTGAACTTTAGCTTTGATCATAAAGGACTTCTGCTTGTGTTTACAACCACTGATGAGTCATATTTGTTAATATCAGGTACGTGTTCTCGCAGTGAATATCCGCTAAGTAAAATTATTTCTTCTCACTTGCTTACCAAGTTGATGCATTCCTTAATTTTTGCATATATTTGATGATTATCATTTCTCTTATTAGTATTTCACCTTCTATTCATTCTTGTCATTTAGTTGAGGGTCTTTTTTTCTTTTTTTTTTTTTACTATTATTGTATGTATCTCTTTAATTGCTTAATGCTTGTAAACAAGTTTTAACATCTAATCATTTATTAGTACTAGGTATAATTATTATTATTATTATTATTATTAATAATAATAATAATAATAATAATAATAATAATAATAATATTTTTCGTTGGTAGGAAACGTAATAGTAACGGAAATTCTGAGAAAATGGCTTTTTTAAAAATTGATTTTGATGTTATTTTTCTATTTGAGAAAGTAACTATTATAAATTCTCAAATGTATGATGATGATGATGGTGTTGGCGGTGATGATGATGATGATGATGATGGCGACGACTATCATGTCTGCTGCTGCAACCGTTCTGAATACTTCATGTAACGTTATTTTGGAACCATTCCAATTGCATGCCATTGGCCAGCTGACATTCTACAAAGCTTCTATGTACAACAGGTGTTGAAACTGGCCCTAGGCCAGGGCTGCTTACTCAACATGACTCCCACTCTCATATTTCCCACCTTCCTTGATGTTTTTGTTCTTTTTCCACTGATTTTTTTTTCTTTCGCTATATCTTTGTCTTTCTCTCGCTTCATTCTTTCCTTATTCCTTAGCCTTTCTTCCGCCATCTTCTTTCTTTTTTTTTCTTTTTTCTTTTGCCGTCATTCAGCTGAATTACTTTTTATTTTAATTCTCTTTCAAGGATTTGACTTCTCTTACTGGAATGATTCCATTTTTTGTTAAGTGACATCTGGGCGATTCGTATTTCTTTTTATATTTCTCAACTCTGAATATCAACCATGTGAGTAATAGAAATTCGATTAATACACAGATTTTGTTAATATTTCTTGGTTTATCAATATCATTGTCAAAATATTAAAAAAATATAGAGCATTTTAATGGCACTATTTTAATATATTTTGATGGCATTTTGGGTAATATGTCAATGCAAATGACTAACTGTGATAATTAAATAAATAAATTAGTTTTCATTGTCAGATTTTGTATCCAGTTTCGTTGCATTAAGATATATATATATATATATATATATATATATATATATATATATATATATATATATATATATAAAGATATTTTAATGTTTATATGTACATTTCATATTAAGACATTTTTTATGTTTATACGTTTTTTTATATATATAGTTTATTTTAGGATATTACATCGAAAACATGTCAATTAAGTTTAAATCTGATTAAATCATTCACTCGCCAGCAAATAAGAATTGTCTGATGAGATGCTTTGTATACGTATCGAAATACGACTGCAATTGTGTAGCGATTTTGACATGTTTTTGATGTCAAATCCTAAAATAAAGGCTATTGCTCCACTTTTGTATTGAGCCTTCTTTTAAATTAAATGTTACGAACTTTGGAATTGTACTCTATTCGTTCTCATCTTACATATATATATATATATATATATATATATATATATAAAAGGAAGATGTTATAGTAGTTCCAACGAGAGAAAAGTGTGTATATTAAAAAGAGAGCAACTGCAAACGTTTTTGGTTGTAATGTGGATATTTTTTTTAAATATTATGCTTTATGTTCCATAATTTTGCTACACGTGTTTCCGATCTCGCGACCGTCTTCAGGTAAAGGATGTAGATTTCCACATATTAATATTTTTTTTTCCTTTATGTTTTTCGATGTTAAATATTCTCGATATGAGGCATTCTCTTTGTTTGTGTTAGTGACCCAAATGTCTTTCTTGAACTGGCAGTGAAAAGTTCTGCGTGAAGGGTTATAAAACAATTAAGATTGGTCCGAGATAGGATGAGAAGTGGCATTATGACACTTTCCACTGACAAAAAAAATTACATAGATAAAGCACTTCGTAAAATGTGGGTTGTACTTGTCAGAACAATTTTTTGTATCTCTTTGAGGCATGGACTTCAAGGAACCCCTTCACTTAGTATACTGGGGTCTTTTCCAGCCAATCCTAGGGCTCCAACTACAATAGGGATTGTTGATGTTCCCATGTGCCACATATTTGAGATTTCGATTTCAAGGTTCTTGTATTTTGACAGCTTTTGAATATCTTCAAAGATACATTGCAGTCTACAGGGACTGCCATATCAATAAGGAGGCACTTTATTATTATTATTATTATTATTATTATTATTTTCTTGGATTTCTGTTTTATACTCATTTTTTCTGGATCTCAAACATAAATCTAAGGTTAGAAATATCTTCAAGACATTTTCCACTGATCATTTTTGTAAAAGAAAAAAATCTAAGACCACACGCATAAAGATACTTTGCATTTCTTAAAAGTATGGACTACCAGTGATCCCTTCAATAAGCTTATCGGAATCTTTTCCATTCAATCCGCGGGCTCCAACTACTACTGCAATTACTGATGTCAATAAGAAAGCACATTCTATTTTTGTGGTCTTTGATCACGATGTCGAGGCAATGAACTTTGATTGTTTTGTCTGCGTGTACTGTAAAGTCCCATAAAATTGTCTAACGGAATAAAGCCTGCCTGTTGCAGCTATGTCCTGTCTCCCCGGTAGTTCTGGCCGAAAAAGAATCCACCCGATCTTCCCCCGGTGAACTGAAGGAAGCACCACTATTCGCCATGTTGTGAATTCTTGATCCGAACATCAGTGTATCGGTCTCCCCAGAACGGTCCGGTGCGAAGTGGATGAAATGGTTAGGTATTACGCTGAAAGGAAATCACTATTCATGCAAAAAAGTTTCTTTCGTAGCTGCAAAGACAGGAAAAAGAAAAAATAAGCAACTCTTTCGGTTCCTGTACAAAGAGCCCTTTTTCGGCCACTGTTTTTATGTCACTACCGAAGAATTTACACGAGTAGAAAATGTCGTAACGAGATTCACTCGTTTGGGGTCGGAAGTGACAGAAAGAGAGTAGGAAAATTTCTGCCTAGACAATTTCGGCTGATCTAAGGGAAGTAATTCGGGGATCTTCGTCGGAGCGTGTAATTATAGCAGTTTGGTTTCTCAGCTTTGTTGGCAACATTAATTAGGGTCTGTTTCCATTTCTGGGTTCGGATCGGACAACCAACCAACCAATCGGACCAGCAAATTCCAACAAGCTGTCTCTTCTGCGTTCTACTGCGTTTTAAGAGCCACTCTGTTCTCTCCCAGGTTCTGCGATCTGACTAACTCAAACATGCGGTCAGCTTATATAGAGAGAGTCGGAGCTAAACCATCTTTAGGCACCGCCCCCGAATTTTAATATGCAAATCGCCTTTGACCACCATGCAAGCTTTTCCGGTCCCCGAAACTCCGCGGGAACCCAGTTTTCAAGAGATACTAAAATCGGATTCGAACCTCCTGCTGGGTCTGCCGTAGACAACGTCTACTTAAGTTTTGCCAAAACCACTTATCACGTCTGGTTGAATTCCGCCATTCAGACTACCCAAAAGTCCAATTCGCCATTTATCACAAACTTTACTTTAACGAATCCGTCTCTTAATCACTCTGGAATTATTACATTTAATTAACTAATAACTCAACCCCAGAAAGAATTATTAAGAGAAAAAACAAGAAAAAAAAAAACTTATTTCTGGAATTACTTCGTAATCCCTTCTACCCAAGTAATTAGCACCTTCATCCTAATTCTTTAGCACTGTTGATTACTAAATCCACCTCGGGGTGCGGGTCTCTCTCTATATCACAATTGTTACAATTCCTATATCTGTGTAACCGCATCTGGGTGATGTTCATACCAGTTTTTTTCACGTAAATGTTGCATATTTTCCAGTGCAGTTATTGGCCAACTTTTATAGGCCAAGTTTTATATTCAGTGGGTGCCATTACTGTGCAACCTGATACAAGATGATCAATTATTTCTGGATATTTATCACATAATCTGCATTCGCACAATTTTTCAGTATTTGTAATTAGTAATTTCAAGTTAGGAAGTATATAAAACTTTAAGGAAATAAAACACATTGCAATGGATGAAATATCAACGAAGTGTTAGTATTTTCGTCAGAATCAAGGCAATTGTGAACGAGCGACGTTAAATTCTTCCGTTTTTCTTTAATGTTTTTCTCCATGAATTCTTTTCAGTGATCCAGCGTTCATTGAACATTATTATTCTTCTGAGAATTGTTTTCATTTTTAGTTTCCATGGAAATTGAGCAAGTCTTTTCAATATTCTGATTTTAATTACAGTTCTGGTTTATTACAGTTCTACAGATTTCCAATATTTCCAACAATTTAGTAACGCTCATCGGGAGTGTGTCAGGTGCGCCAATAATACTAATGTTAAATTGGTGTTTAACAATTTTTCATTTCTTAAACAAGTTTCAGATTTTCAAGCATTATTCTTATGTTCAAAGATAACCTATTAATCCTCTTCTCTTTGCGCTGTACTAAATCGTTAATTACCTGAGATAAATGTCTCCTGGCATCACCAGAAAAGATTTAAAACATTTTGTATTAAGTGCGTTGTTCTGAAAACGTTTCTTCTCAATATATTTCATAATTGAAAACTAGATAAGGATACTATGCCACAAACCGATGACGTCACACTCGTAAACCAATGAAATAAAAAATTCTACAGATACAATCTAGTCATTCCATTCTATTCTCATTTCATAACACACAATACTACTGATGTGTCATTCGTGTGCAACGCAATCGTCAGGTATGAACTTAAATAAGCATAAGAAGTTTAAGCCTGATAATAGCATCGTGCGGTAAGGATGAAGAATGCAATAATATTACAGCTACAAGAAAAAATTATTTTTTGAAATGGTTTTAAAACTTAGGTATCGCTTTTTTGGACTTATCTTATTTAATGTTTATATTCCTCTAAAAATGTAAACCATTAATTATTAAAACCCCCACTTGCGAAAAATCTGCTCTGAATCGTAAAATTAAAATGCAATAAAACTAAGATATTATTTAATTAGATAAGGTTTTAATTGATTTTATGAATGCAATATGTTACTGACAGTATTTTCTTATGGACATCATTGTGTTCATTGTTTATGGACATCAATTTTTTTTTGATGAATAATGAATTTTTACTAGAATTGTTTTCATTTTTTTAAACTTTAATTTCAATAATTTATAAACTTTTAAATCTTTTAAATTTCTGTATTAATTTTCATTAATGGATAACCTCATTGCAACTAAATTAACCCAATACTTTAAGAAGAATTTAGAATTTTCTTTATGTGTGTAAAAACATGTTGATACATGTAAATACGGACGTCCATACACGTCATTATCAGAAAATAAGAACGGTGCCTATAGTAGATTTAAAATTTATTCCTGATTTTCTAATATTTCGTCACCAAGCATTTACGTACATAAGAATATAAAGGCAAAATAACTAAAAATTCTATAACAAATCATAATGCTTAAATAAATCTTACATTTTAATGATTTTAGATTAAGGTTAGTTTATATATATATATATATATATATATATATATATATATATATATATATATATATATATAGTCTTAAGGTGTGCTATATATATGGGATATAGTGCTCAATATCAGAGACAGAGCGTGTGTAAATATGAAAGTGAACACTGAAGTCAACACTGTTTCATGTTAGACGCAATCGTCAGGCCACCAATAGCATGAAACGGACTGTCGCCTCTAAATGTTGACTTCAATGTTCACTTTTATATTTACACATTTATATATATATATATAGAGATATAGATATAGATATATAGAGATATAGATATATATATACATATATATATATTTATCGGATTTTATATATATATATATATATATTAGATATTGTTTATTTATCGGATTTATATATATATATATATATATATATATATATATATATATATATATATATAAATCCGTAAGTAGTAAGGATAATCCAAGTAGGTCTTTTTAATATTTTAATATTTCATATTAAAAAGATAGATCGATGAAGAGAGCTCAGTGTATTTATGCACAGAGCAATATAATATACACTAAGAAGGAAAAACTTCATATCATTGGAAAACATTAATCCGAAAAGGCGCAACGATTCACTCCCCTGGAGGTTAGCATTAGCCATGCTGATGGAAGAGAAAAAGAGCTCTTTCAGACAATTAAAAGTGAGTTCTAAATAACAAGCCATTCCTTACTCCAGTTAACAACAGATTGTAGGTCATTTGAGTTTTTCGAAACGATCAAATTTACTATTAATACCGGAGTAAGTAGTGTGCCATCAGCATAGATGTCGAGCTGATGACATCAGGAAGGTCATTTATAAAAATTACGACCATCGTAGGTTGAAGAATAGAGCCTTGGGTGACACCTGCATTAAAAAGATCTAGAAGAATGGCCATTCAGGATAACTTTCATTTCGCGACTTGATAAAAAATTGAATCAATTACAAAATTCCTCCAGAAATACCATAGCCTTTCAACTTGTGAAAAGGACTAGTATGCCAAACCTTGTCAAATTCTTTGAGATATACAAATCAAGAGCCCGAGCTTCAACATTCTTATCTAAAGCTTGTTAAAACCCTTTCAGAAGTAATCGTTAACACATCTGTAGTTGACCTAGAGAAGCAAAGACCCTGTGAGATGAAATGCTGAACCAGTTCACATTTAGTTAGAGCCTCTAATCCTGTGAGAAAAAGTTAGAAGGATAATAGGCTGATAGTTAAAAGGAAATTTGTTTCAAAAGTTAGAAGGCTAATAGGCTGATAGTTAAAAGGATCAGACGACTGGAACAAACAGGAAAGGAAGACGCAGCAACATATTCATTGTAGAGTTTAGAGGGAAAAGGAGTCAGTTCAGGAGGACATTTCTTAAGGACAATTGCAGGGATACCATCAAATCCACGTGCTTTGTGTGGACGTAGCGGTATATGCACTATATACAGCACAGTTCATGTAACATACTTTAAAGAAAGGCAAAAGGTTCACGTGAGCAAAAAAAAAAAATAATTAAAGAAACTGTAAAAATACATGCACAATCACAACTAAGAGAATAGGTAATGAATAAATATATTATATCATAAGTAATCAATAATAAAGAGTTAAAAGTTAACAAGCAACTCGGTACAATAAATATGAAATAACCGCTTTCACAATGATTTTTACTATATAGCCTTTAAAATAATTAAAAAGAAAAATCTCTCCATCTATCCAATGACCGTTAAGATAACACAATAACCGGAAATATGTGAGATCGTTACCAATAATGTCCTATTGATCAATAATTGAGCTACCATCCAAAACATATGGCCTGTAGAGTACTTTAAGTATGAAACTTTTGCAACTCTATGTTGTTTACAGTGTCTACTTATATATTTTCACACGCCCTGTCTGTACCCATCTCCCACAATCTGCCCATATCTACTCCATTATGTTCATTACTTCAGCCTATACTCATCTCTCTCAATCTGTTCATATCTACTCCAGTATGTTCATTAACACAGTCAGTACTCATCTCCCTCAATCTGTCCATATCTACTACAGTATTTTCATCACCTCAGTCTAAAATCTCCCTTAATCTGTCCATATCTACTGCAGTATGTTCATTACCTCAGCCTGTACTGATGTCCCTCAATCTGTCCATATCTACTCAAGTATGTTCATTAACTCAACCTATACTCATCTCCCTCAATCTGTCCATATCTACTACAGTATATTCATCACCTCAGCCTATACTCATCTCCCTCAATCTGTCCATATCTACTACAGTATATTCATTACCTCAGCCTATATTCATCTCCCTCAATGTCCATATCTACTACAGTATGCTCATTACGACAGTCTATACTCATCTCCCTCAACGTGTCCATATCTACTACAGTATGTTCATTACCTCAGCCTATACTCATCTTCCTCAACCTGTCCATATCTACTACAGTGTGTTCATTAACTCAGCCTATACTCATCTCCCTCAATCTGTCCATATCTACTACAGTATGTTCATTATTTTAGCCTATACTCATCTCCCTCAATCTGTTCATATCTACTCCAGTATTTTCATTACCTCAGTCTGTACTCATCTCCCTCAATCAGTCCATATCTACTACAGTATGTTCATTACTTCAACCTATACTCATCTCTCTCAATCTGTTCATATCTACTCCAGTATGTTCATTACTTCAGTCTGTACGCATCTCCCTCAATCTGTCGCTCAACTTCTCGAGAGGAACTCTCTGCGGCTTCTCGTTCTCACGTTGACTGCTGTCCTGAGATGGAATAAATACATTGAGTCATTTGCCTCGTCCACCGCAAGGAAAGTTGGTTCCCTCAGCCGCGCCAGGAAGTTTTTCTCCCCGGAGACGATCCTCCAGATCTACAAATCAACAATTCCCCCTTGCATGGAGTATTGCTGTCATATATGGTCTGGTGCACCTTCTGTTGGCCTCGGGATTCTTGATAGGCTCCAGAGGCGGATATGCAATGTAGTTGGCCCTTCTCTGGCGTCTCGTCTACAGTCACTTTCTCACAGACGCGCCGTCGCCTCCCTCTGTCTTTTCTACAAATACTTTCATGGAAATTGCTCCGAGGAGCTGCATTCGCTGGTTCCCAGACGTCATGAGTTCCAGCGCCTTACGAGGCTGGCAGCCCGCTCTCACCCCTTCACTGTCGAAACTCCTAAATTTAGCCGTCTCTTCTACTCTAATAGCGTCATGTCTCGCACCTCTCGCCTGTGGAACTTCCTTCCCTATTCCTGTTTCCCTGTGAGCTATAATCTCCAGCTATTCAAGTGTAATGTCAATCGACATCCCCAGTTGCCTTGATCTATCCACTACCCTCATCCTTTCTTCTATCACTCCTATCTGATCTTGCTCTAAACTTTCTGTATCCCCTTGCGTCCTAATGGCTTCCCGCCTGGCTTGGGGTGAAATGACTAAAAAAAAAAAAACTCCCTCGATCTGTTCATATCTACTCCAGTATGTTCATTACCTCAGTCTGTACTCGTCTCCTTCAATCTGTCCATATCAACTACAGTATGTTCATTACCTCGGCCTGTACTCATCTCCCGCAATCTGCCCATATCTACTATAGTATGTTCATTACTTCAGTCTGTACTCATCTTCCTCAATCTGTCCATATCTACTATAGAATGTTCATTACCTCAGTCTGTAATCATCTCCCTCAATCTGTCCATATCTACTCCAGTGTTTTCATTACCTCAGCCTATAGTCATCTTCCTCAATCTGTCCATATCTACTACAGTGTGTTCATTAACTCAGTCTGTACTCATCTCCCTCAATCTGTCCATATCTACTCCAGTATGTTCATTACCTTAGCCTATACTCATCTCCCTCAATCTGTTCATATCTACTACAGTATGTTCATTACGTCAGTCTGTACTCATTTCCCTCAATCTGTCCATATCTACTACAGTATGTTCATTACCTCAGTCTGTCCTCATCTCCCTCGATCTGTTCATATCTACTCCAGTATGTTCATTACCTCAGTCTGTACTCATCTACCTCAATATCTACATATCTACTACAGTATTTTCATTACCTCAGTCTGTACGCATCTCCCTCAATCTGTCCATATATACTCAAGTACGTTCATTACCTCAATCTGTACTCATTTTCCTCAATCTGTCCATATCTACTACAGTATATTTATTACCTCAGTCTGTACTCATCTCCCTCAATCTGTTCATATCTACTCCAGTATGTTCATTACCTCAACCTATACTAATCTCCCTCACTTTGTTCATATCTATGTTATCCTCATCATATCTGCTATGGTCTGATAATATCTACCTAAACCCATTCCTATCTACCTCCACCTATTCATATCCAGCGCAGTATGTTACTACTTACCTCACCCTGTTCCTATATAAATAAACCTATTCTTATATACCCCAACCTATTAATATCCACCTCAATATGTTCCTACTTACCTCAGCCTGTTTCTATATAAATATTCCTGTTCTTATCTACTTCAACCTATTAATATCCACCTCAGTATGTTCCTACTTACCTACACTAGTTTCTATCTACCTCAGCCTATTCATATATATCTCAATCTATTCACATTTACGTCAGTCCCTTCATACCATATCATAACATCTGTTCATATCTGCCCCACTCTGTTCCTATCTATGTCCGGTATATAATTTGGTAAGTATTCGGTCCCTGCCTCCTTCAAGTGCCGATCGAATACAAATAAAAATCACAACTCGAATATCGAATTGCTTATCATGCAGAGAGCGAGACCGGGATGTCTTTTACACTAAGCAATCAATACCTGGGATATTTGCAACATTTACATAAAATAAGAGTCTGTATTCTTCTGAATTTTGGTCTGCGACCAGAATCATCACTACTTGATTTTCTGTTCCCTTATTTCTGTAGAGAAAAGTGGAAATTGAATGATTCTCATTCTTTCTGATGGACACATCCGTTTAATTTGAAAAAAAAAAAGGAACAGTTTGCTATTTGGTAGTGGGAATGAAGCGTCCCAAGATGGAGTCAGTTCTTTTGCTAAAATAACATAATGTCCAAAATGAATGAAATACTGAGTCAATCGTCTGAATAGAAAGTAAAGATTGACTTTGAGTTCAATAGTCTTTTATCGATAACAGATAAAAAATTCTCTCCTGGTACAAGTTGTCATGGCCGTCTCTATGAAAACCTCCAATAAAACCCGTCGAAATTGTAAATGCAATAAAAAACGCACTTACATAAACTACTGATGACTATTAAGGTCAATCAAATCTTGTTCTCTGTTTTAACAACTGTGGCGTGTCGTCTAAAATAAAGTGAGAAGTATACAATCAATCTAATGATATTATTTAGTTTTGATTATTAAGAGTGTAGGAGATTAACATATGAACATAATTTGATTCAATAAAATTTAATTTCTGTAGTTCACTGCTACCAGCAAGCAGAAAATTTTCTTTTCTCCTGATGATGGCCATGTTGGCCGATACTAGTCGACGAATCTAAATGAAATAATAATAAAAACGAAAGAATATTAATATACAACCCAGTGTGTCTGAAGATTTTAGTTTTTGAATATTATTTATTGTTCAATATATATATATATATATATATATATATATATATATATATATATATATATATAGTTCTCTTTAATTTATCTAGCTTAGTAGCTTCATATATATCTATTTTATTGATCTATTTACCATACGCTACTAATAGCTATTTACTTACATCTCTACCTTCCTGATTTCATTCATATCAATATTTTATAACGATCATTCCACTCCAGACTATTACAATCTATCTATCTATCTATCTATCTATCTTTGTCTTTTCACGCCTATCCGGTGTATATCTGTAATTACTGTATAGAAAAGGAGACGTATTCAATCGATTCTTGCCGTGTCAGTAATTCGGACTCTTTGATAATCACGGTAAGATAGAGAAAAGGAAATCGAAATGAAAACAAAGTCAAATAGCAACAAGAGAAACAGCTAAATATAAAGTCACTTATTGATGCGGCTGCCGGCCAATGAGTAAAATGGACAGCTAGCATTGATATGTGTGGGACTAGAAGATTTCGACGTTATTCTGTGACCGGACAAAGAGAAACAGACAATAAGGCAGGAAATCAGACGAACAGCAAAGAAAAGCATGAAGCGGAACTGCAAAACAAGTTGATGGTTGGTTGGGAATTCTCGGTCCGGGGACATTTGGGTGCTGGGTAAAAGGTCAAGCGGATGCAAAAGTGGGAAAAGAGGAAAGGAAAGAAAAGAAATAATGAAAGAGTTGGACATTCGTAAAGATGAAAAGAAATAAAATGAAAGAAAGAAAGGAAGCGAAAACACAGAAAAATCGTTAAATAAATCAATAATAAACGAAAAAAAAACAAAATGAAGAATGAAAGAAAATGAACTGACAAAGAGAAAAGAGAATGTAAATGAAAATAAAGAGAAAGAGAAGTGAAATAAAGAAAAAGAAAGAAAAAAGAAGTGAAAGAAAATATGATGTAAAAATAAAAATAAAATAACGAGACGGGATGTAAGTCTAGAGATGGAGAGATAAGAATCTATTAAAATACATGAATAGATGTTTAAGAATAGACCACAATAGAAATATACATCAAAATTATAATGACGATATGCTAAGTCGAAAGAAAAAGTCAAAGGAGAGAAGGAAAAGTAAGGATACTATATCGACTGATCTATTTCAAGATAAGTATGTATAAAGAAAATCAAAGCGATTCAAAGAACACAGAGAGATAATTGGTCAGAGGGAAAAGAGAATTTCATTTCGAAAAGAAACTCTTCCTGTAATCTCATTTATTGAAGGCAGACTGATGGAAACATAAAGCAATTCACCATAGCAAAGAGAATACAAAGTTCGCCGACACCGGCATTCTATATGACTTCTATAAACAGATGGACACAAAGAAACAGATTCGCAAGCGACGCTGAATTGACCGACTCGTCGCCATTTTCTTCTGTTGTGATCTCGTTCCGCGTCTGAGTCGAGTTTAAATCGCGCGCTCAAAACCGGAAGGGATGAGAACGGGTTTTATCGGTGATCTCGGCTGGATTTCGGAGACCTACAAACTTATAAAAGCTTCGAATATTTTGATTACAGAACTAATGAAGAAGATCCTTATATTAATAATTCTTAAAAATTTGGTTTACAAAGTTTTGAAGTTCTGAAACAGAATTTCAGCATTTTTACTTTCATTGATCTATTTATTGTCGGTTCAATAAAATCGCAGAAGAAAAATACTTGAAATCAAATTCTGTGACTTGAATCATTGTCTGACCATGTTTAACGTTCCTGTCACCAAAAAAAAAAAAAAAAAAAACCGTGAGGCAAAAGGACGGTTATTCCCTTGACTCAGTTATTACGGAACCAAGTAAAATGCAATATTTATTATTTAACTTTTATAAAGATTTATTATTTACCATTTTATAAGGAAACAAAATAAATCTTTTTATTCAAAGATTTCTAAAAAAAAATTACAAAATTTAAAAAATACCCAACGATAATATAATATTTGCAGTAAATTTACAAACATTCTGTAATTAAACACAAGGAATAGGGAGATACTCATTCAAAATATATATGGTCTCAGCTAAAATCTAAAACTCAAAGAATGTTTGGTTCAGAGGAGAATCTCCCGTCAACCTATTTTTGTGGCGAGAGCAAATGAAAGAAAACCCAGAAAATTCATACATTTCAAAATTTATAATTACTTTCATTCGTCATTATGCGTTTATTTCAATTTTCTTGTTCACAGATATTTTTTATAAATTTATGAATAAATAATTATGTCTATATGTATTTCTTTGTAATATGGTAAATAATAAGGTATTTCATTTTCGTTGGTTAACATTTTCATAATCTTGTGAATATAAAATTATTTGTGCAAATAAGGAATCTAATGAACAAATAGTGTTTAATACATTTGTTGTCAATTCCCAAAAATGAGTAAATCCACTTTCATATGTTTAAGTTTTATTAACATACTAATCATTGCTTTGTAAAACAATAAATATTTTCGAGAGAGTAAAAAATCGGTCTGATAGCAGTGTCAAGAAAATAACCTTCCTTGATAGACAAAGTTGTTTGCGGACTCGAACGTTAAACATTGCTGATTATTTTTCGTGGACTAAAACGCGATCATGATTTACAACACGGATATAGGATTTCTCGACATTTGCGTATAGGTTACCAGAAGACTTCAGTCAACTAATCATTAAAACTTACTCTGGAAACTTCTTGATAACTTTCAGTAAATCCTGACAAATAAGCTTGCAGGTCATTAATACAGGGGTTGATATATTGTTAGACTCACACCTAACCAGAAAACTCGTGTTTCTGAATGGATATCGTGTCTATCATAGAAAGGACGCCATGGTTAATTCGATGAGGGTTACTGTTATGGTTAGGTGAATATCAGTCGAAATACACAGACATGGCTGTAAGACCATTCATGTTCTGATCTAAACATACATACAATCACTTATTGTTATTGTCGGTGTATCTTTGTGTCACTGTTTTGGATATATAAACTGATAGTATGATCACCTGATTAATAGAGTTTTTGTTCTTCATATAATGGGAAAACGGGGCTTATCAGCTAAAATATGAAGACAATAATATTTGATAACGTGTCCTCTGAGATCTGGTGCCAAATTTGGCCTAAAATATCAAAACTTTATGTAAATATACAGAAATCGTAATACTTTCTTCATTATGTGCTGTATCATGCCTGTATATATATATATATATATATATATATATATATATATATGAATGAAAAATATAGTTTTAAGGTATGTTATATTTATGGATAAAGTGCTCAATATGCTCAAGGCGGCCTGAAGATTGCGTCCAGCATGAAACAGCCTGTTCCCCTGAGTATTGACTTCAACGTTCACTTACACACACACACACACACACACACACACATATATATATATATATATATAGATATAGATAGATAGATAGATAGATAGATAGATAGATAGATAGCTAGATATAGATCAGATAGATAGATAGATCGATAACACTATATATTTAACAGAACTAGATAGATAGATAAATTTTAGATAACACTACATATTTAACACTACATATTAAATTTTTGCACTACAAATTAAATTTCAAATAAATATTTTTTATACTTATGCTAAATAAGTAAAATTGAACACAAATCATTAATGGTGCCCATAAATGCCAGTGAAACATCAATTCAAGAATGACTATTATAGTGTTTTCAGCTAATATATGTACGTTATGAGTTTCAATCACATTTCTAAATTTTCTAAATCTTCCCTATAATTTTGTCCGTGGGTGTATATATCTATGTAAGATAATATATTGGTTGTTTTTGCACATTCTCGAATTGTTTAGTTATTAAGCATTTTACAGACATAGGGCCTTTTTCTCTGTATCATCCTCAAATATTTTTAATTGTAAATTGATTGCTCGTATTTGTTGCTCATCTCTTAATTAGAAAGGGAACGAACTAATTACTATAAAATCGTTCATAATTTTCGCTTCTTTGCAAACGAGCACGTCCTTTTCTTTCCTGTATGAAACATGTTGATGTAGCAGTTTTATTTAAACATATAATCTGTTTGAAGCATAAAAATCATCTTGCTGGTTGAGCTGATTCTAAAGAACAATCAGCCAATAGTCTCTCAGCTTCCGTTTGAAACTCCGGCCTTGGATTAAAGATTATAGAGCTTCTCCAGTTAAGATGTTGTTCTGAAATCGGTTTGAAATCGATTTGAACAACAAAGTAGATCGCGATTTTCTCCTATTTTAATGTCTAAGGCGGTCATTACTGCCGACATAAAGTAGATTTATTGGATTGGTAAGAATCTCTCCTGACATTTTGTACAGTTAAAGAGTTTTTATTCCTCATAAAAGAAACATAAAAAACGATTCAATAAAGTCACTATTGATATTTATCACTTCTTGTCAACCTGCAGACAAATTGCAAAGCCATTTCCAATAGAAAAGACGCTAGTTTAGAATTAAGGAATGTTTGCATAAGCGTTTTGACATTTTGTTGTTATTTCGGGAACACCCGATTTTACAGGATTATATTGAAGAAATCAGAAAAGGCGACAATTAAAATGGCAAGGTGGAGACGGTAAACATTTTCAAAGTCAACTGCGCAGTTCTAGAAAGATCATTCGGGGTCAGGTGGTTTGGTAGTGATGTGCAGCCGATAGATTTTTCTCGAACTGTTTGATAGAAGCGTCGCGTTGATTATATTGCAATGATGCTTGCTTTTTCGTGCGATCGAAGCTGATTCAGTTACTCAGGAAAAATCTATTATTATTTTCACATTTAGATTGATTAGATGCGATTAAAAAGTATATACTTGAAGCTAGAGATGTACTCACTATATAAAATGAATTAAAAAGTTGAAAGAATAAATTAAACCAACAGTTTTAGAAAGAAAGTTTGGAATCTTTTTTACAAACTTAGCAATAAATATGTACTTCGACAATTGTCACTGTATTTTATGGTAATCCACACACAGACAATATTTTTTAAAGTCTTCTCTCAAACGCTAATAATGCGAGAAAGAAATGAAAGCTCAAATGTAATCCCAAATGAATGTCAATCGAGTACATTCTGATGAGTTTCATGAAAAAAGCATTGTAGAAGCTGCTTTTTATATCAAAATTGGAACGTTACCGCAAAGAAAACGTTATTCTGAGGGAAATATGAACAATTGCATTTTAAGCAGAATGTGAACGTGAACACATGCACATATTGATGAGCAAGAGATCCTTTACCACCAGGTTTTTAAAGACATAAAGAGAGAAGGCTGCCTAAGATTATCAAGATCGTGATCATTATTCTCA